CATCGGACGCAGCAGTACAGAAAACCAAGCTCAATGTGAATCTGAAGTCTACAATAATGATATGGTTTCTTTGTACTGAGGAAGGGGCGGAACAGGAGTGTGAGGGATAGCATTACTATCGAACTATTATGATAGTTGACCTAGGCTTTAGGCTAGCAATTCTGACGAAAATACATATTATCAAATGGGAACTGCCTTGATACAGGCGCCTGATGTGTACAACTCTTTATAATAATCAGGATAACAATTCCGCTGGGAGGGCAACATGCTCTAATTCAGAAGATTTTGTAAATATCCATAACGTCTCAGGTAATAAGCAAATCAGTACTGACAGATCAAATTAAACGGAAAGTTAGAATATTCACATCCGCATAAGGAGACCCACAGATCGCCATAAAAAATGTAATCTCACCAGGCTGGGTAAATGAGTATAAAATGGTAGCTGGTCATTGCTCTAGAAAATGAAATCTGATCCTTGGATACGCAGGGTATCCTCTCGGAAACTGCACTTTTTAAGTAATTGTTTATACATTTAAAATGTATAAACAGAAGTGTTGCAACGTGGGAACCGATTAATTGTAGGCAACGCCTAAATTGCCCTTGAACATCTCGAAAAAAGGATGAAAAACTCCATCACTTTCAGCGCATAACTCGCTCTGATACAAAGAATTGCGCCAGTGATTTTAAATGTTATACCTCTGAGCACTCCAAAAGTGAAAGGGCGAAGCGAAGACCTCCAAAATACTATCCCTAGTTAGGGTGATATCTGAAAGAACTCTTAAGCTGTATATCTTGGGTATCCATGCCCTCTATGTGACGTGGAGGATATATGTACATGGTTTGCCTTCTAGCCTTCTTCAATGGGAGAAATGTGAAAATATTCACCAGTAAATCTGCGGCCAGTGTTGGTTGATTAATCATGCTAGAGTACACTTTTATGTTTTAGCCCAAGCTAAGATTAAAAATTGAAAAGTAGGAAGCCAATGGTTTACAGAGAATAGAGACCTTTCTCATAATTTATAAAGCAACTCGGCGGTCAGTGCTTGGTTATGCGGCTACATACTGGCCTGTGTTACAAGTGGTATTCAGTCCTGTCAGAATGTCGTCGGGGGAATTGCATCGGACCATTTTCTTTTGATATGTCAGCATAACCACATGCTTTTGTTCCAGTGCTGGCTTGGTTGTTATAGCTAAGATCGAATCATCGAGACAACCACGCCCACACGGTGCCAAATCAAATCACATCTATAACTGAAAAATTACCAAAAATAACCCATATTTGGAACACCCAATCTACAAATGTGTATCTATTTCACATGAACTTCCGTCCCTAACCTTCCAAACACCATTGAAGAGCAGGTTTTCTCGGTAAAAAAAAAGTTCAACCACAACTATAATAAATGTGCTATATTTCCCCTTGAAATCAAAAAACGATATACGTCCAGCATATACACGTCCTTCAAAAGTTCAAACATAACCACAAGCTTTGTGTTCTACGTTCTAATTAAAACATGGATGTGTTGCGCCCCCTTGATGACAAGTTCTACCTACGTCCATAAATAAAGTGATTTTTTCTGAAGCATTTCGGCAAACAAATGAATATATCGTAGGATAAAGTCAGTGTGTATCTCTCTCCTCAATATTTATAAAGCCTAATTATCCAAATGAGAAATTTTAGTGCTTCGGTTAGGGTCCTAGAAGCAGCTAGGCACAATTCAGTTACAATAAAAAAATCCCATGGACCTCATTACCCAAATAATTTGGCCCCAATCTTTGTATTACATGAACCTAGTCCACCTTCTCCTTCTGGCCCATATATCACTCGTGATTGCAGTATCTCTTCGTTCGCGTGATCTCTTCAATGACTCGTTTATTTTGTGTATTGTTTTTATTAGTATTTATTCGGTCTCTTCTTTTTTTCCAACAATCGCATTTGAATATAAAGTTGTCTGCGCATATCTTTATTCTCCCTACGCTGCTAGTCGTCTGGCCGGTTGTTGGTTGGCCGTTCGCTCGGTTCCTCCTTTTGTCATTTGAATTTGTTGTTTTATATAGACTTCTCCCGCCGTCGTTGCCGTTGTTGTCGCCGCCGCATTTGTTATTATTATTTCTTTTTTTTTTTTTCATTTTTGTTTGTATATTTATTTGTATTAAAAGTGCTTTCATATGACTCTTTGGACTGGCTCAGACGACGAACCTCGTCGTTTGTGGTGGCTGCTGGCTGGCTATGATTATGACTATGCTTGCTGCTAGTGTATCTGCTGTTGTGATGTCTTTTTGGGCGTTCGTATGTTTGTATTTGTATCATTTTGTTTTTTAATTTCAATTTGTTTTCATCATCATCTCCATCATCCAACAGCAACAACAATATCATCTCTTTGTAGCAGCAGATTTTGTCTTGTTTTCTTTTTGTTTGCTCCTTTTTGAAAATATTTCTGTGAGTGTTTTACTTTTGTTGTACGTTTGGATAGGTTGATTGGACAGACGTTCTTATGTTCACAACAGTCGTCAATTTATAACAAATTGAAATTTTAAATAATGCATTGTTCGGTTTTATTGTTCGTCAGGGGTTTCTTCTTTGTATAATTATTTAAAGAAGCAAAATCGATAATTGGGAATATTTGCCAAGAACAAATCATCCGTACGTCCGTCGTCATCCTCCACCATCAACAAATGTGTCTTCATCTGAACCAACGGGTATTTCTTAGAAATGCCCACAGATAGTAACGTTTCTTGTTTATCAATTTTGTAGCCGCCCGTTGAAAAGATATGAGGAAATATGGCCCAAAATATGTGAACTCTGATTTTCACTTCCAGTCGAAGTTTCATTTTCCATTTAGGGGAATAATAAATACGAAGAATGGAAATTGCGATGACTGTTGAAGATTATAGGTATTTGCGGGATGAAAATAGGCGCTTTTTGGATATGACAATTTCGGACAATTTGTGCAGATCCTTCTATTTTTATACTTGGAAAATAAAATTAAAGAATTTTGGTAATAGAAAAAAAATATGTAGCGCGATCTATTTGAGGTATTTGCTGTTGAAAGCTACCAATTTTTTCGGCACAAAAAAAACATTAGATAAACCCTCTACAAAAGTCTGTACTAGATAGCTCTCGTCTTAACGGTGGCTTTTGAGAAGTCTTGGTGGAAGATAGTTTATTATTCAGAATTATGTATTGAGAATGGAAGTAAACCTTAGAAATCTTTTCAGAAATAAGTCTATCTGAAAACAATTAAATACTGTAAATTGAGTGGAATTATATTATGATATTCCAATAAAACCCTGAGATGTTGCTGACCTATTGAGCAAAACTTTGACAAGAAAAGAAATTGCTATCAACAAAAGGAAGAACATTTGAATAACACAATTAACATATCCTCTATCTTATGGTGGGTTACGTCCAAGGATGAAAATATGATTAAGTCTTCTATCAATGTTTCCAAATTATTGGATTAATAATTTCATTTCTTTCTTAGGTCCACTGGTTTTCAAACTCAAATTGATGTTTATAGTGCAATTGTAAGGTTTAGAAGATTTTCCAAAAGAATTTAAGTTTTATATAATTCTTTGGTTCCTCTTCTATTGAGCTTACGATCTCGTCACTTGGGTAAAAAAGTTTTCTGTCATAGGAGTTATTTTAAATAACTTCTGGAGTGAATATCCCAGGCGAAAAACAAGGGAACTTATGAGGATTGGTGGCTCTTTCCGAAACCTAGGTATTCCCTGCCTTACCCCCTGATAAACATTACCATCGTTCTCCACTAATAAACAAATGTTGTTTTTTAAAAACAACAATAATGGGATTAAGCCTGACGATTTTTGCAACAACAAAATACTACGGTATCCCAAACAAACATGCCAACACAGTTCTATTTTTGATTAATTTAAATACGAATCTTTTCGTAGCTACATACCAATTCATGGATTCACATTTTATTGATAAATCCGTATTAAATGGTATACTAATTTGAGGCTATAGTTACAAATTGTTTTTACAAAATTGGAATTAATCGAACTTGTTCTTTAATGCGTTACTATGATTTTAAACTTCAATAGAATATTATTCAACTATTTACACAACTAATATCCAAAGATGTGGTGAGAAATTGTAACAAAATCATCTGAACTTTAGATGCTGGGCACATTAAAATTTGGCGCATTTTTTGACAACTAAGAGAATTTATTCCCCGGCTTTCCTTTTTAAACACACCTGCTGGAAAGCTCTAAAGTTAAATAGAATACAATTCCTTGTTGCCAAATATTTATTTGGCTCCCAAGTTTTTAATAATATAACCAGAATATCTAAATATACTCACAATAAACCACAATGAATGGCAATATACTAAATTAATTTTTCGAGACATGACTAAACAAACGGAGATCTGACACATTTCATTTGGCGACTGAGAGCAATTTTTCTTTGACCCTCACTGAACATACCCAATTGTTGAATACAAATTTTTATATGACTTCAATAGGTGACATTTTGGGTTCTCTCTTGTCTAATATTCACAGAATATCGAAGGATGCTAATAATTAGCAAGAAAGTAACAATAACAATGTAAAACAATCTACTCTACACTAAAGTGAGGCATGTGCCAACAAACAAAAAGAGATCTGGCACATTTCATTTGACAACTGAAAGAAATTCTCACAAAATTGTAAAGAAGCAAAAAATCACGTACCTACATTCGAAACACAACAAACGAATAAGTAGAACAATTTATAGCAGTGCAAAAGTACTTTAACAATAGAGAAAAAATCCCGAAATTTATTGGAAATCAAAACAAAGGCAAATAAATATTTCAGATGAAAACAAACGATGATGACGACCTATTAATTGAAATATTTTAACAACGAATTCGTTTTGTGCAAACCAGAAATATATAATTGATTGAGGTTAGGTTTATTTTTGGGTGTATTTGACTAGTCGTAGCTGTCGCCGGAAAGCAACAGCTTGGCTTAAAAAAATATCTATCATATGACGGACTTACCTGTTTACCATCGACTTCAATGTCGGCCACATAATTTTCAAAAACAGTGGGCACATACACTTCAGGGAACTGATCTTTGCTAAAGACAATCAGCAGACAAGTTTTACCGCAGGCACCATCGCCAACAATAACCAACTTTTTACGAATCGTCGTCATTGGTTCTAGGATGGAAAAAGGAAACAAAACAAAAAAGTAGAAAAACAATGAGTAACAAATTGAGAAAAAGAAATTAGGGTAAAACTAACAACAAATGACTATTGAAATGATTTTTTATGACAATTTCCATAATTAGCTAGATACATATGAATTAATATATAAAGAAATTAAACACCCACTGCTTTTTTTAAGGCCCATACTGTAGATGTAGTTAAGCGTTTAAAAGGAAAGTATTCCAATTTGTTTGGAGGGTGGTGATTGGCTGGCTGAATGACTGACTGGCTGGTTGGTTGGTTGGAAGTTTAACGTTTTTAGCGAAAGAAGAAAGAAAACAGCAAATAATTGACGACGATGACAATGTTAATATGGTGGTCTGCTGCTGGGCTGTGCTCCCGTAATAGCCAGCCCCATAGCAATGAAACCAAGCGTTTTAAGTATTACAATACGCGAATTTATGACACAAATGTGAAAAGAACAACTTTTTGTTTGCTTTCAATAAGCTTAAGTTTTTCTTGGGTGAGTAAGAATTGTTTATCACTTATTTGTTTTTTTTTTCCTCCTCCGCCAGCACGTCGGTGTTGTTGTTATTGCTGTCGTGATTGGTCTCCTTGTTAAAAGTTGACGTAGAAGAGAAGTCTTCTACGTATGACGTTCAAGTGCGTAGTTTGACATTCTAAATTTTGCGTACATCTCTTTCCCAAAACATTTTGTTTTTGCCCATTACACAGTGTCAAAATTGACAGATGTTGGCTACAAAGAGAAAACTATTTTGTACAAAATTGCTTGCTTTTTGTTTTGCTTTAATGTGCTTTGTAACAGAAAATCAGCGACCAGAGACACAAAATTTTCGATTCAATTGGTTGTTGCGTTGTAATTGTTAGTACTAGAGGCAGCAAAGGCGAAGTCGTCCACACCACCACCTTTTTCTTCTTCTTGTTTTTTATTGTACCTTAATTATCAACAAGTATTTCAAATTTATTTCCTCAGAATTCACTTTTTTGTAAAGTTTCCTTCTTTTTTTTACAACATTGGCTGCTTTTTTCAAGAAGCTTTTTCTTTATTTCTGTGTTCAATGATATACAATTGAATTTTTTTCTTCATCATCATCAGCACCAAGTACTAGTGACTGGCAGTCAGGCAGGCAGGCTGACTTTGCTGCTGAAGTAGAAGAATCGAATGGAGAAGAGAAAAAACAGGCAAATACAAAGAAGAAGCAGAAATAGAAGTAGTATGTGTTTGCTGCCCTTCCTTGTACACTCCCCACCACACAACCCTTATTGTGTAAAACCGTATACATTCCACCTTAATCATCATCACACAACAGTTCATTCGTTCCGTTCGTCGTTCATTTTTTCGCTGCTTTATTCCAATTTCTTATTAACACACACACACGTACACTTTATATATACACACACATTTAAACGCATTCAATCATCGTTCATGATCATAATTCACTTTTTTCTTCTTCGTGAAATTTCAAAAAAAAAGTTTCCAACATTTTAATGCAAGCCCAAAATTCCTTAACGTTTTGGCAATTTTCTTTAAAAACAATAATGCCCATTTTGTATTGGCCTATAGCATTCGCACTCATTGCTTATTTTTGGAAATTGCATACTAGATTTTTTGTTACCCATATTTTCGTACATACATTTTTTTAATATGCTTAATTTCCTCTTGACAAAAATGTAATGTACTTCTTTTTGTGTTATTTGTACAACAGCACTCGTTTTCCTATACTTTCTTTTTACTTTTTGCAAATTCGTATCGTTTAGTTTTCTTCCAACACCACTTTAAAATAATAAAAAATTTAATTTTATTTCGTTAAGTTGCTTAATGTTTTCACTTAGTTCCAAAAAATTTTTTCATGCAGTCTACTTGAAAATTATGATGACAGACAACGCCTTGACTTGACGTTAGTTTCCGATGTTGTACGAAGAAAAATGAGAGAAAAAAATGAAAAAGGGAGCGAGACGGATATACCGAAACTCCATAAGTGGGAGTGAGAAAACTATAGTTTTATTGGCGGATATAAATACCGACTATCGTAGGGTATTTGATACTCATGGAATACTCGTTAACCACAAAAGAATATTAATTTTCAAAGTAGGTTTTTTTATTATTTTTGGAATAAAAAAGCATATAGACTATAAATTTTCCGCAACATTTTTAGAAATAGAGTATAATAGGATTACTTCACTAGTTTGTGATTTATTATTAAAAATCATCCTAGCAGATGCAAGTGAAACCATTGACATCCAAAGTAAAATGATAGCCAAGTAAAAGAAAATAAATTTAAGAATAAAAGCATTTACAATATTAATATCAGGTAAATTTGCAATTTATTTAGAAAAGTGTTTATGATGGGTATGTGTTTTATTTATCAAACACAAAATGCATAGAAACTCCCACCAAAGACATAGAAGTATAAAGATGGGACAAGACAGAGTTAATATATGGCAACCCTTTGAAAATACCTCTGTTGTTATGATATCGTAACAACATAAGTTGTGTTCCAGAACCACCAAATTAGTACTAATTAGCACTAATTCTGCTACAACGCGTTCCCGTACTCCAAAAACTAGCAAAACTTGCAGCTCTCTCGAGAAAAAAATGGCGCTGAGTGGTGCACATTTCTGCTTGTTTTAGCTACATGAATTTGGCCGAGCAGAAATGTGCAAATTGTAAATTTGACATTTAATTGGCAGGGCTAACAAGGTTGAAAAATGTATTGATACATTTCAATAAAGAAATTGATCAACTTGAAAACTAAAGGAAAAACTAATATTTGTCGTGCAAAAAACAAAAAGAGAAAATATGGAGCAACTGATGTATTCACTTTTGGATGATTCCAGCAGTAAAGAGGACTGACTGAATGAGGAATCAGATTAATTATAATTATAAATTATTAATTTTAACTTATCGTCTTCAATACTCATTTTTTAAATGTTGGCGCTCTTTTCAGTAAGGTTTCACCAGTCCGATTTAGGCTGTTTACTTTTGGAATTTTGAATTTTGACATTTTATCACATTTCTGCTAATTTTCCGTTCCTTTATTTTTTGAGCAAACCTAAATGAGAATGACATTTCGAACTGTTCTCTCTTCTGCTAGTTTTACTACTAAAAAAGTACTGGAACACAACTATAGTTAGCAATGTTATGCGATTTAAACCGCTTAGGCAATATGCAATTAATTTGGAAATTAGAATTTTGAAACCTAATTTTTTTGATTTTTCAAACTTTTGTTTGTCATTTTTTCCTATAAATGTGTTTTTTATATTAACATGGTCCTGTCATGAACTGTTATCTAGATAGTATAGACACAAACCATTTGCTCAGAATGCATTTTGTCTAGTATTTACCATTTTAAGTCTTTGCTCTCACTTACAAAAAAAAAAAAAAAAAAAAACAATAATTTTAATAGGTTTCCAGACATTGTGATTAATTATTATTGTAACTTCAAACCATGGTAAAAATAAGAAGGTAAGGTCATTTCAAAAAGGCATTCCCATCTCTGCGCTTTCTGTAATTTACCTTGTCACATTTCACTACATAAAAACAGGTCCCTATCTCTGATTTGTGTATGTACAATGGATTCATGGTAGAAGAATATAAGTAGATGAAATGTTGTCAAATGAATAATATTTGAAAAAATTGTAAACATATGATTGATTCTACCATGCTTCAAACGAAACGAATTGACAATGAACTGTCAAACAAATTTTGGGATTGAAAATGTTGAATGAAAAAATTTTTAAATTTGTAAAAATTGTTGAAAAACTCGTATTATAATAACCTCCGAATGTAGTCGTATAAAAAACATATAAAAATCTACTTATATTTGAAAATATATTTAAATTTTTTTGACATATCAATGTTCCCAAGCGTTGATGCATCTACCTGTATTTTTTACCATGTATTCTATGTAAGGTGATAGCTTCAATGAAAAGTTAATATTTTTAAGAATGAAAAAAAAAACATTAGTCGCAATTGCGAGAAAATCGTAATTCACTTCTATTTAAACAAACATGGCGCTCTCTTCTTTTATTTGTATGTTCTCTTTAGAATCTTTTTACACTACGAATTTGTCTTTTAACACAAGTTCTTTATAAGAGGCCGAATGAATTGAGAAGTTCTGACAAGTCTTTTACTGAGAGTTTGTGAATTCTTGCTGGTCAAATTTCTTCTTGCAGTCGCTCGTAAAAAATAATTATTATGGAAATAGAAAGCCTAAAGGTGAGAGTACATAAACAGTTTAAAGTTTGATGCCAGAGCCGCAATCAAACCCTGCCGTCGTTGTTCCCGCCTCGTCATTAAGTTGAGGGTACATAAGCAGCTTGGCATTATGGCTAGGAATTTTAATGTCAAATTACAAGGAAAACAACGGTAGAATCCGCCCCTTTATAATATGTTTTAAATTATGCCATGTGAAGACTTCAAACTGCTTATGTTCACACATGTACAATAAGGAGGTAGAACAGCTTTGTAAAACTAGTGAAATACAGCCCGGAGGCTATGCCCGCTTTCAATATTTCAATTCCATGATAAATCTGGATAATGTTATTGATGCGCGCCCCGCAACTTCAGTTTCTTCCAATCATTGATTTTGAATATATTTTGTTTTTATTTTTTAAAACAAGAGATACATTCAGTTTTACGAAGCTGCCCTATCTCCTTATTGAACTCTCTCCCTCTCAGAAAAAGCTGCTGGAAAATTCCTGCAGGAAAATTAACCATTCATGATATATTGTCCACGTGATTTCGGCAATTTTTCTCAATGTTACTACTTTTTACTTCACGTATTTCTCGATTTTCTTTTTTCTCTGAAACCATATAACAGCAATTTATGACGTTTCGCTATTTTGATACTTTTACCACTAATTACCATGGTACAATTGCATTGTAAAATAATACAGACAAAAGCATCAACGCTTCGAAACATTGATATGTCAAATTTTTTAATACATTTTTTCCAAAATTGTACATTTTTTCCAAAATTGTGGATTTTTATGTTTCTTATAGGACGCCAATCGGAGGTTGCTATGATACGCATTTTTAAACAATTTTAACGAATTTGATTCATTTTTATTCAGTTTGTTTGACAGTTCGTTGTCCCAGCAGCTGTGTTTGATGCGGCTACCCTTATATTTGTACCATGTTACCTTGTCAAATTTCCATGGTAGAAGAATATAGGTAGACGCATCGACACAGCTACTGGGACAATGAACTGTCAAACCAATTTTGGAATTGAAAAAGTTGAATGGAAAATTATTTAAATTTGTAAAAATTGTTGAAAAACCTGTATTATAATAACCTCCGAATGACGTCGTATAACAAAACATATGAAAATCTACTTATATTTGAAAAGACATTTAATTTTTTTGACTATCGATGTTCCCAATCGTTGATTCATCTACCTGTATTTTTCTACCATGCAACTAATGGATGAACATGGCAGAAGAATACAGAATACAGCTGTGTTGACACGTCTACTTATATTCTTCTACCATGATTAGTTGCATACACAATTACGAAATTCGTTTTTTGCCAGGAACTTGCCCTATTTATATTTAATCATGTAAACCTACTATTACTTTTGTGTGTGTCTGTCACCGTCACCGTTGCCTGTCCACATGTGCTGCATTGTTTATCATTTCAAAACTGTGCACGCTCTCCACCAACATTTATAGAAATTTATGAAAATTTCGTTACATTTCCAAATTCTAGAAATTTGCATTCTCCTGAAATGGCTACAAAAGAAGGCGGCACGGCGATATCACCAAAAGAGAAAGAAAAATTAAAACAAAAGTTAATGAATCTCCTGATGGAACATGAATCAAAAAAGAATAAAAAACAATCGGAAAGAAAATTCTTGAATAAAACAAATGAACAACGGCATGGAAAAGAAGAGGACATCCAGCAACAGAAGCAACAAGCTTCTCCAAATCGAGAAGGCCACAAAAAGAAGCATAAAAATGCCCCGGGAGTTAAGGGGAATCAACAACATATGGGTGTAGTGTCCAAGGGAAATACAAAGATGGCAAATAAAAAGCTGAATAAAAGTAACTCCATGTCCCAGCAAAATAGTACAAAAAGAGCTGGTGTAGATGCGAAAACCAAAAATTTGCCAAAAGAAGGTAACAACGATAAACATTTGAAACCAGACGTAAGGCAAAAAAGTAGTGAAAATAGCAAGAAATCTACATTAAATAAAAAGGGAAACACTGTACAAACCCCTAAAACGAAACCAGAAACTATTAATATTAAGAAAACATCAGTGGCTAATGGCACAAAGAGTAAGAAACAAAAAGCAAAGAAAGTTGAACCTGAGGATAAGTTGGGTTTAGCACAGAAGACAAATTCTCCAAAAGCCGGTAGTCAACAAAATTCTTCCAAAGGCCAAAACAAACCTAACAATGTCAATATGACTAAATTGGAAAAGGAGACAACAACAACGGAAAATGCTGAACAAAATAAATTGTTCCGTTCTGAAGATACATTGCCAAATAGCCAACCCAAAAGCAAGAAAAATAATAAACCCAAAACTAATCTTAAAAAGACTGATACCTCCGTAGGAGAAAAGAATTCTAAAGTTCCTCTCAAAGAAAACTCTAAAACAGCAAATAAAAGTAAAGATAAAAAGGAAAAGAACAAGCAAAAGTCTCAAAATTCCACCAATGCCAATGCAACAAATGGCTCGACCAACAAAGATCAGCAAAATAAGGCAAAGAAACGCGTAGCGACTGAGACGTCAAATACCACAAATGTCTCCAAAAAACCAAAACTAACTAAAGAAATACAACAAGTACCCGTGGAAAGCAAATCTAAGAAATCTAAAAAGAATAAGGGAAAAACGAATTCATCATCTGATAACAAACAATTGGATACAAGTAACATGCCCGGCTTTGTCAAGGGTGGGGATTTCGATTCAAAATATGGAGACTATTCCGGTGATGCATATTGGCAACAACAGTATGCCAATAACTTTGAAGATTCCGAAGATGATTTTGGTGAGCATCAACAAAATAATCAAGAGGTGGAAACCTATAATGGTTATGGGGAATCGGATGGCTCCGATGAAGATGATCCCTACAACTATAGTGATATTGATGACTCGGATGAAGATAGTGATGACGATGATCCCTACAATTATAGTGATATTGATGAAAACGATGAAAACTCCTACAATTATGGTGTTACAGGTGATTCCGACGATGATTCATATGATGATAATGATCCATATGATTATAGTGATTTAGATGATGAAGATGACGAAGAGGAGGAACACTATTCAGATTTTGATGAAGACGACTACGAAGAAGATGAAGATAGTTATGATTATTCAGACAATGAAAATTCTTCAAATTATGATGAAGATGATGCTGAGGATACCGGCAAGTCTTATGATTTTGAGGATGAAGAAAATGATGAAGACTATAAATTACCAGAAGATGTACCCGAAGACTTGATTGTCCACTCAGGTATGTTGATTATCGATTTTATACTTTTGCATGGTGGAATGGGTTTTAATGTCCTTTATATATTTTTTGATTCGTTCTAATAATGAATTTCTATCTTCATTTTTAGGAACTGCCACCAAGAGGGACATACAACCTGAGGACAATGTGGTATTTAAGGATAAAAAATATTGCCAAATTATAGAATTAAAGAGCCAAACAACAGTGAAAACAATACAGCAGCCAGAAGGCTACAGAAAGGAAGAATTACTAAAATTAAAGTACAAAGAGAATCACATTGCAAAGATAGAACCGCCAGCATTGTCATCTGATACAAAAAATGTCGACAAAGAAGTTGAAGATAAAAATGACGATTGCCCAAAACTGGTACCAATTATTGATGAGGATGGTTTTCAACTTTACAATCCCAAGGAGGATGACGAAGAAAATTTGGATGAGGAATCTTTAGGTGATGAAGAGCAGGATGCCTATGAATATGACGACGATGCTTCAATGGAAAACGTTAGCCTGGGCAGTGAATATACTGAACTTGATTCAGATGAGGCCGATTCTTTAATGTCTGAAGATATTAATGAAAAATATTTGAATAGAAATGCCAATGATTATGACAGCAGTGATGACGATGATGAACATATGCATTCAATGCAAACTGTGGATATCATTAATGCTACCAAGTGCAAATATGCTGGAAATTCGAAACAAGAAATGGATGTAGAAGATGATGACGATGAGAAGGAAGTGACGCCTTCACAAATTTTAAACAAACACATTAAGGTTGGTAGCAAAGCTGTAGTTGTAAGCATTCCAATTGCCGACAAGCCAAAAGAAGAAGAAAAAGAACAGTTGAACGAGGAGAATGACTCGTTGAATGCCAATCCAAATGTTCAAGCAGAAAAAGAAATTGGGACAATATTGGAATCCAACACATCGTCCAATTTGCCTCTAAATGATGGTGAAAATAATGATGAAACATCAACTAGCCATGATGAGAAACCAACAGATCAAGTCGATGGAGATGAGAATACCTCCCGCGAAGCAACAACTACACGTGCCAAAATTCAACATCAAAATCTAACGGATTACGATACAATATTTTGTAATGCCATTAATGCCAATTTGGTATTGGTTCTTGTGAAAGACCCCTTCTATATTTATGGTACTGTACGTCTAACACTGTTGGCTGGTCAAGTTGACGTCTACGGCCATTCGCTTAGCCTCAATAAAGAAATTGAGCTATTTTCACCACGTGGTTGCAGTGTGATAGAAATTTCCTCCCACCCTAGTGCGGCAAAAGCACCACAAAACAACCTTAAGCAGACGTTAAAGAGTTACGACAGCAATTTCCTACGATCTGATCTGGAAAGTATCATCAAAGGCTTTGATCCCGCAAAAGATGCTGTGGTTCTACTGAAACGCAACGATGAAAGACGAAAAGTTGTCAGCCAGTTTAAGAAGTTCATGAACGAGAATGTATTTCCCAATCTACAAAATATAAATCCGGATCGACCTCTGTTCAATTCCGAATATCTACTACGTTGCATTATAAACACATCTGCCATGGAACAGAAATGTTTGCGTTTATCCGATCAATGGAAACTTCTGGAAGTAAGTCGAAAGTCTCGCATCCTGTTGGCTGGTGGAAAGGGGGTTGGTAAATCAACTCTACTACGGTATCTCATCAACAAAGAATTGCAGAGAAGCGAAAAAGTACTCTTAATTGATTTGGATATTGGTCAACCGGAAATTTTTGTACCACAGACAGTGTCGTGTGCCGTGGTAACAAAACCTCTATTGGGACCCGGTTTCTTTTTAAACCAACAGCCCGAAAAGGCATTCGCAGTTGGCCACACAAACATTGCATTGTGTGCCCATCGTTATATTGAAGCTGTGCAAAAATTAATTGATTATTGTTTAGCACAAAATCACCTTCAAGACATTCCATGGTTTGTCAATACCATGGGCTATAACAAAGGCTTTGGTTTGGAACTTATTTCAGTGATAATAAAATCCTTGCCCCTAACTGATGTTATCCAACTGCAAAGTAACAAGGCTATAAATAACTTTGACACATTACTCTTCCCCCAAAATATTAATCAAGTACCATGTAATATGTTTATGGAATATAATGGAAATCCTGATGAAGAATCACCCATATTAGAGTATCGCACACATGTATGGCAAACTGCAGTCACACAAGAATCACGCTATCAAAAGGAATGGGATATGAGTCCCAAAGATACGCGGTATGCCATGTTGTTGACACGTTTGAGTGTTGCTTTGCAGGGACATGCAGAATGGCTTACTGATTGTAAGCCTTTAAGGTAACATAAATACCTAAAATTTGTGAAAACAATATGATTCATTTGAAATTTTCTATTTTAGTGCCCCCTTGGATCAACTTAAGCTAATCAATTTAATGGATAATAAACCACCCTGCTCCCAAGATGAATTGGCCAAGGCCATGGAAGCCAATCTAGTGTATCTTTGTCATGCCGAAAACGAACGTAGTGCTGTAGAATGTTTGGGAATTGGTAATTAAAAACGATGCAACAGTTGCAACTTATATTTATCACATTCTCCCTTTCTCCCTCAGGTGTTGTCCGAGCGATTGATTATCATGTGCGACAAGTATATCTCATTCCGGCAATTTCCACTCCGCTACTAAAGCATGTCAACTGTTTAGCACTGGGCGATATGCCTTTGCCCAGTTCAATGCTAACCAATCAAGGTTCTCGCGTCAATAAAACAGCACCATTTGTCTATAATACCGTAGAAGCCAATGCCTCCAAGGCGATTAAACAAATATACCATAGACCTAAGTTGTTCCTTAGTGGCAAGCATAAATCCCTAGACTAAGTGAATTCCAGTGTTTAGTCCTAGTAGTTTATTTTTGTTTTTTTGTTACTGAAATAGAAAAGAAACTGAAGAAGACTATTTTATTTATTTAAATGTGGTGTTTTATTGTTCCTCTAATGTGACAACACATAACGGCCCTTTAATATGCGACGCATCAAGGTCCTTCTGCCTCCTTCGGTAGCCATGCGAGCATCCCAGCCATGTACATTGATACGTTTGACTTCTCTGGGTTTTGGGAAGTGGCAACGTACCTTGGTCTTTAGTATGTCCCGGTTGAAGGCATGAGCCTCTCGTGTTATGACCATTTGTCCAACACTGTTGCAGGCCCTGAATGCAGACAAGAGAAATGGACACAGATTATCGATGCTATAATCGCGGGGTATCTTGTAAATTACCTTCTCAATATATTTGTAAACATTTTCTTTTATTAATTAATAATTATTTTAATGAAAACAAATTGAAAGTCGGCGTTAAGTAACGAGGAAGAATAAACACGCACTCGCTTATTAGGGATATGTAGATCGATTTTTCACTAATCACTCAGCTGTTTGCACATATGAGGAAGAACTTAATGAATAGGTATGTTCAGTGTTGCAGGTAATAGAAAAAAAGATCAGGGCCTTAAAACAAAATTGGGGAAGAGATTATAGCTATTTCCTCCCACGCTAGCACAGTTACAGGATGTTTTTATTTATGATATCAAAAATACAAGACCAGTAAATTCTTTCAGGTTTTGGAACAAAGAAACTTTTAGATAAAAACAACAACAAAAGAAGGAGCAAACAATTTAAAAATTAAATGACAATTTTCTACGACTTGGTACGTTCAGTGTAGCCGGTAATACAAAATACGTTAGACCTACAGTTAGCGACCAAAATAAGTCCGACCTATGGTAGAAGAATGCAGGTAGATGCATCAACGCTTGGGAATATTGATATGTAAATTTTTTGTTTTCTTATACGAGGCCAATCGGATATTGTAATGAAGTGTATTTTTCAACAATTTTTAAAAATTTCAATTATGTTTCATTCAAAAATTTCAATTCCAAAATTGGTTTAAAATTTTATTGTCCCAGCAGCTGTGTCGATGCGCCTATCTACATTTTTCTGTCATGATCCTTCCATGGCAGAAGAATACAGGTAGATGCATCAACGCTTGGGAGCATTGATATGTCAAAAACATTTAAATGGGTTTTTTCAAATATAAGTAGAATTTTATATACTGTCTTATACTACGTCATTCGGAGGCTATTATAATTTGGGGTTTACAACAATTTTTACAAATTTAAATAATTTTTCATTCAACATTTTCAATTCCAAAATTGGTTTGACAGTTCATTGTCCAAGCAGCCGTGTCGACGCGTCTACCTATATTCTTCTACCATGGATCCTACTGATATCAACAGTGTTGCCAACTTTAATTTTTGACAATATTAAACAAATCCAGTAACACCAGCGAGCTTTATAATAATATTTATCATCACTCAGCTGTTTGCACATATGAGGAAGAACTTAATGAATAGGTATGTTCAGTGTTGCAGGTAATAGAAAAAAAGATCAGGGCCTTAAAACAAAATTGAGGAAGAGATTATAGCTATTTCCTCCCATGCTAGCACAGTTACAGGATGTTTTATTAAGTAGAATTTTATATACTGTCTTATACTACGTCATTCGGAGGCTATTATAATTTGGGGTTTACAACAATTTTTACAAATTTAAATAATTTTTCATTCAACATTTTCAATTCCAAAATTGGTTTGACAGTTCATTGTCCAAGCAGCCGTGTCGACGCGTCTACCTATATTCTACTACCATGGATCCTACTGATATCAACAGTGTTGCCAACTTTAATTTTTGACATTTCATTGATAACTTTGAGTTTTCATTTTACCGATATTTGTCAGTAAATTTAGATAACCCCACTACTGGCCCCTGCAACCCATTCCTACGTAAAAAGTTTTATTTCAAAGTAATTTAGTATTAGACCTCCCAACGATCTTATTCCAATAAAAAATCTCTTGAGGATTTCTAACATAAAAACTTTTTTATTGATGTTCATATTTTGGTATTTGATGACATGTTTTGTTTTTTTTTGCTGTTTTTAAAGTTATATATAATTAATTTCTTATTGATTATGTAAATTAACAATTTATTTACTATGTATTTTTTGGGTTTTCTTAAATATTTTTTGTGTAATTATTTAATTTTTTATTAATAAATTCTGATAATTATTGTGTTGTATTTGTTTTTCATTTTTTTTATTTGCATCAGATGTCGCTTAATAGTTTTATTTATTTTTTAGTTTTATTTTGAATCAACATATTTACATATGTATGTTTGCATGTTTGTAGGACATAGTTGTTTATTTATTAAACATAAAATCTTTTATAACAATTATTAACAAATATGAATAACAACAATGGTTAAGTAAGTTGCAATGTTTTCTTTAAACATAATAAATTATATTGAGTAGAAAAATAAATAAAATTTGTGTGTTTTATATTTAGTTTGTTATTCTCAATAGCATTAGCATATGAGTAACATAAATAAGGAACTTTGTGTATGTGTCTGTTTTTAAGTGAAAGTCATAGGCAAATAATGATGTAAATAAGAAAGAATTCAATTAATTAGACACTAAAAACTAAGCTAGTTTATTTTAAATCGAAAGAAACATAATGTTTAAAGCACCTTAACTGGATTTATTTATCATAGTATTTAGGCAAATTTGACAAATAAAACTCAATAATCGCACACATGTCAATGTACTTCAATAGATGGACAACTCTTAAGGTGAGAATGCATGACGGAATATGACAGAAAATAATAACAAATTATATTTAACTAACAAAACCTTGTAAACTTTGGACCTTGTTGTTTTGTTGTCTTTATGAGTAACCATCGGTAAATAAATTGTATTTGATTTTATGCGTTTTTTTTTTCTTATTGTTGTGTATTTAACTTAACACTATATTATTTCAAAAGAACTCATCACTGTGATGTTATATTCTTTTCAATTACATTAAGTTTTGTTTAAGTATCAACTATTAATAAATTCTTCATTTGTTTTAAATAATTTATTAGATTGGTAGTTATTTTGAGTGATTTTTGTTTTGTAATCGATGATTAACATGTTTATTCTTAACCCTTAAACCATTGGAAAACAGCAACGAAGTGTGTTTACATATACGAGGAAATGTAGTGGATTTTAAATGTCAGTTTCACTTGAATTGGCGTGTGAAAACATGCTATTAAGCAATTTTAGATTCATGGTAGAAGAATTCAGGTAGACGCATCAACGCTTGGGAACATTGATATGACAAAACTTAAATTTTCTATTATATTTTTTCAACATTTTTAATTGAAAATTGGTTTGACAGTTCATTGTCCCAGCAGCTGTGTCGATGCGACTACCAGTATTCTTCCTTGTTTCAATTTCAATTCTGCTCTGATGCATGCATTTTTTGTCTCTATATTGTCAAATTAATAATGACAGTCCTAAAACGCCCGGTATATTTCCACATCTGGTTTCCAATTGATAATAGGAAATTGATATCTACTGAATTTATTATATGTAAATATTTTTAAAAAACAAAAAATATTCTAATGTAAACATGGCTTAAGCCTGGGTTATTGCCATGGTAAAAGAATGCAGGTAGACGCATCGACAACATTGATATGTCAAAAAAGTTTAAATGTCTTTTCAAATATAAGTAGATTTTTACATGTTTTCTTTTCGGAGGTTATGATAATACGTGTTTTTCAAAAAATTTTACAATTTAAATAATTGTTCATTTAACATTTTAAATTCCAAAATTGGTTTGACAGTTCATTGTACCAGCAGCTGTGTCGATGCGTCTACCTAAGTGCTTCTACCATGGTTATTGCCATTGTGGAAGAATACCGGTAGTAGCCGATGTACTACTCCGATGACTTAATCTAGTCAAAGAATCGTTTTATGTATTCTCACCTTTATAAATGTTAAATAAGTAAAACTCGCTTGCCATTCCCGAACAGTTTATGGGTTAAGATTTTAATTTCAAATGCGGCTACTATGATTCAGCCAATCTTTATGAGACAAAATATGTTTTTTTTTTTTTGATTTTTAATTATAAATAGTATGCAAGTATGGAACATATGTTTGATGTCAATTCGTTTTAGTTTAACTTGTAGTTTTAATAAATACTCTAAGTTTCTTAAATAAAAGAGAAAAACAAATATGTTTGACTAGGAAAATTCTAATACTTAGAAATCAGGATCGTCGATATGGAAAGTACTAAGGCGGAGAGTACATAAAGATCTTTTTTGACGGGTTTAAGGAGTTTTAGGTTAACTTAGTTCGATTTCGGCCTAGTCGCCATTATTCTTTTCCGTAGAAGCCAGTCAGAAAATCGTTTTATGTATTTTCACCTTAAAGGTGGCTAATGGCTTAAGTCATCGGCTGGCTTCTTTGTGGAGGAACAAATGAGTTTTAGGTTGACTTAGTTCGATTTTGGCCCTACTCTCCTATGTTCTTCTCCGAAGAATCCAGCCGATGACTTAATCCAGTTAAAAAATCATTTTATGTACTCTCACCTTAAGTTATGAATATTTTAAACAAAGTTTCTAGGTTATGTCCTCAGGCATAGATGAGAAGTCTTAAATGGAAGAAAATTGTCAAAAAAAGCTTCCGTCCTTTTTCAGAAAATCAAAAAATTATGTGTCTGATTAGGCAATGATCTCAAGATGCAGCTTAACATGGAATCACAGAATTCATTTAGCAATTATCGAGAGGCTGATGTCATAAAGACGAATTTTGGTATTTCGATAAATAAAACAAGAACTCTATTATCTTGTCTTTTGTAAACGTCATTATTGTATGACTCCGGTAGTGAGATTATCTAGCTCTTTTTTTGAGATATCAACAAATATCGGCAAAATTAAAAAGAAAAATTATGAATGAAAAGTCTAAGTTGAAGTTGACAGCACTATTGCTATCGGTAGGATTTAGCGACTACTTTAATTTAGTCGCTAGCTTCGTAAGAAAAATTCGTTGATTACCGAAATCATAAGCATCTCAATGAAAACGATCTTGTCAGTAACTCAAAAATTATTTAAAGAATCGCACTACTGGTCTATGTCTTAGGTCCTGGCTTCTCGTTACATGTAAAAACAAAACGAAAACTATTTTCCTTATATAATTTCTCATTTGATATTTCTTGACTTTACATATATTCTCATTGAACTAGAATAGAGCCAAAGGACATTAATAACATTTCAGGACTATTTTAAGTTAAACTTTGACCACAAAATTTGTCTCTCCTTTCTAATACTTCAATAGAAAATAATCGAAAACATTCCACACGAATTAAATGATATCGCTCTCCCGTTTTTCTTTCCCTCAATTCTCTCTTTCTCTACGTCTCTCTTCCTCTAGGAAATAATGTACTAGAAATTAATGCTACTCGTACTAAGATTTAGTTCAATTCTTATGATTATAACAGATCTGTATAGAGTGTGTGTGTGTTTGTTTTGTTATAGTGTTTGTTATTACTTATAGAATATATACCTGTTTGTTTTGCTGCTGCTTCTTTTTCTTCTTCTTCTAATAATAATAATATATAAACATACTCTACCAAAAAAAAGTGGGCGCTTACGGCTGATAATCTCTTATGTGCGGCGATTTTATCCTTGTGCTTCATCTCCTTCCTTCTTCTGCTTGTTGCGTTTTGTCTTCATTTAACAACTAGAAACTCCAAACCGATTGGGCTTAATTTAAATTACGTCTTCGTCGAAAGACCAAAGCAAATATCGAACGTATACGCCACCAACGACTTCGTCGTCGGGAATGTAACTTTTCCGAACTGGTACCATTGCCCAGGGCCCGTTGTTTTTCTTTGCGTCGTATTTCACGAATCAGAGCATAGAACGCCTCATCGATGTAGAGACGCAGAGCGGCAGATGTTTCAAAAAATGGACAGCCAAATTGATTGGCCAAATTGCGTCCTTCTTCCGTGGAAACCTGGAAAAGATTCATTTATAAGAAGTTCGAAATTTTTAAATCCATTTGACATACCTTTCGTAGAGATTCGAGGTCACTTTTATTGGCAATCAACACCAAGGGAATATCTTCGGTTAATCTAACTCTCTGTATTAGTTTGCGATATTCCGAAGCCTCTTCGTAGCTATGCCGATCGATGACGGAATAACAAATTATGAATCCCTCTCCACATCGCATGTATTGATCACGCATAGCCGTGAACTCCACCTGTCCCGCAGTATCGAGTATATCCAAAAGGGCTGCTTCATTGTCGATGACGGCTTGCTGTTGATATGAGTCCTCTAAAAATCGTGGAATGTGAAATTAGTATTTACTTGAATATAGAATGGCTCGAAAGAAAACTATGAAAGAAAATAAAAAATCCCACTTCCTTGGCTCCAAAAGCCCATTTTTTTAAATTCAATTTTTAGTCCTTGAAAAAATATTTTTAAAAAACCTACTTTTTATTATCCCTAATTTGTTTTTTTTTTAAATTCACGATTTTTTCTGCTTAATTCTGTTTTAAAAATATTCAAGGTTTCGATCGTTGAAAAATGTTATTTTTAAACAAATCAACGTTTTTTGGTGCTTTAAAAATATTCTTTAAAAGTGTACGTTTTATCGTTCTCAAAATAATATTTTTTTTAAATTTACGTTGTTTTGGGGCGTTCACGTTTTAGGCCTTGTTTTTTGGTCCTTGAAAAATCATTTTTAAAAAATAAAGGTTTCTAATTCCTAAAAATTTTTGAAGAAGTTAACTTTTTTAGTCTCTAAAAATGTTTAAAATATTTAAAGACATTCAAGTTTATGGACTTGATGATTATTGAAAAACAATTTTTAAAAAATGCTTTTATTTTAGTCCTTAAAAAATATTTTTTTAGAAATCAACTTTTTTGGTTCTTAAAAAAATATAAAAAATCCAAGTTATTCGTCACTGAAATTTTTTTTAAAAAATCCACGTATTTCGATCCCTGAAACTATTTTTTAAAAAATCCATGTGTTTTTTTGTCCCTAGGAAATGTTTCGAAAATCTACGTTTTCGAATCCTGAAACTATTTTTTTAAAAACCCAAGTTTTTTTATCCATGAATTTTAAAAAACCTAAGTTTTCAGTCCCTGAACAAATCTTTCCAAAAATTTCACGTATTTCGGTAGGTAAAAAAATATTTTAAAAAAAATCCACGTTTTCCGGTAGCCTAAAAAATATTTTTAAAAATCCATATTCTTCGGTAGCTAAAAATATTTTTTAAAAATCCACGTTTTTCAGTAGCTGAAAAATATTTTTTAAATATTCATTTTTTTCGGTACCTATAACATATTCATAAAAAATCATGTTTTGCGGCAGCTAAAAATATTTTTAAACAATCCTGACGTCTGACGCTCTTCTATGGATAGAAGACCGCCTGACGTCTGACGCTCTTCTATGGATAGAAGACCGCCTGACGTCTGACACTCTTCTATGGATAGAAGACCGTTTGACGTCTGACACTCATCTATTGATAGAAGACCGCCTGACGTCTGACGCTCTTCTATGGATAGAAGACCGCCTGACGTCTGACGCTCTTCTATGGATAGAAGACCGCCTGACGTCTGACGCTCTTCTATGGATAGAAGACCGCCTGACGTCTGACGCTCTTCTATGGATAGAGGACCGCCTGACGTCTGACGCTCTTCTATGGATAGAGGACCGCCTGACGTCTGACGCTCTTCTATGGATAGAAGACCGCCTGACGTCTGACGCTCTTCTATGGATAGAAGACCGTTTGACGTCTGACGCTCTTCTATGGATAGAAGAGCGCCTGACGTCTGACGCTCTTTTATGGATAGAAGACCGTTTGACGTCTGACGTTCTTCTATGGATAGAAGACCACGTGAGGCTATTCTATGTATAGAAGACCGCCTGACTTCATATAGAAAATATCCTGATTTTCTTTTATATGTCGAGTATTATCTACAATCCTTCTTTATATAAAAAAAAAACTTCTCTTCTATCTTCTTTTCTTATACGCCTAGAAATCCTTGCCATAATCTCTCGAAAATAAACTTATCAAACTTACCAATTGTCGGATCGTGATAGTCCAAAAAGTTGTGACTGACAAATTGCAGAGTAACAGCTGTTTTTTGTTTGTAGTTGTTAGCCCGCCAGCATCCAATGTTAAGATGTAACGGTAGTGGCGCGCCATAATAGTCACATAGTTACAGTTATATTCGTGGACCATAACAAAACAATGAAACGGGCCATCCAAACGAAAGTAAAAGCAGCACAGCAGCATAGGGTGGGTGGGTAGGTGGATGAATATCAAACAATTTGTTGAAAAGAGTGGTGGCGGTATTCGGCATCATCATCAGCATCAACATCGTCGTCGTCATCATTCGACAAAAACCCGGTGGTGGCAGCAACAAACATTTTGATAAGAAACGTCAATAAATCGGGTGCGTGTGTATATAATTGCGAATGAAAACAAAAAGGCCACACAACGAGAATATCCACACGAGATGTGTTGTTTTTTTTTGGAGAATCGGTAGAACAAAAGAAATATTGCGTTAGGCAGGCAGTCAGACAGACAAACACGAACATACATAATTATTGATTATTCAAAGAACAAGAACAATATGCAAATGCAAAAAAGAAAAAAAGCAAAACCAAGATAAATCCATATTTACCCGATTTCCCGACACCACCATCTCCCAGAATGACAATCTTGTAGACCCTTAGACCTCCGCGCATATTTAGCGGTGGAACATTTGGTGGTTTCATAGCCAGATGACCATTTTCCTTGCGATTACCAACGGCATTTGTGATGCTGGAATTGTTCTCTTTGTCACTGGAAAGTTTCTGTTTGGCCGATTTCTTGAGGGCAGCACATCCAACTGTGGACATATCACCGGCCATGAGAGAAGTGAGGCCTTAGCGGGCTCACACGGAGGAATTAGGCGTTAGCCAAACCAAATTGGGAGTCCGTTTCCCTGTGAGGATTAGATGTGGTGGTTGTTGTGTGTTGAGGAATGTCAACCTTGAACCTGGACCAGCTACAATGAAGATGTTGATAGTAGACAGCACAATGTTTTAGATAAACTGTCGAGGACGAAGTCAGGAACTAAGTGAATCACTAATTGGAGGATCTATTGAAAATATCCACTTTTTGTATTTTATTCAAAAGGAGACTCAATAGAGGTTTCCATTTCTTTCATAGGGTATACTTCGTTTATGAAACTGGGGAGGGGCCTTACTCGAAGTATTTCCACAAAGCTTGTTTTTCGATATTTTTATAACAGAAAATAGAGGGGCACGTGTTATTGTTTTAAATATATAATTTTATTACTTTTTTCGTTTTTTTCTCGTTTCGTTCGGTAGCACTCCTTGCAAAAATATTTTTTTTTCTTGTTAACACAAAATTTTCTCGTTTTTCACTGCCTTTTGCAAATAAGAGGAAAAAATAAATCGCTGAATTTCACTTAAATCGAATTGCTATTTCTTCGTTTGCGGAACAGATGCAGACTGTGTGATGATTTTAATTGGTTTTGTTGTGTGTCGGAAGCGAAATAAAATCAAAATTAAATTAATAATATTTATTATTTTATATTTCTTTTTTTTTTTGTTACACTTTAACAACAAAACAGTGAAAATTTTCCCATTTCTCGTCGTCTTTGGCTCGCTCGGTATCGACAAAATTTTTCTATTCTTTAGAGAGTCTTTGTCGTTTTCTTTACCGCCTGGCAAAAGAAAAATGTGATGGACCCGCATACGGAGGGGTGGTTGTTTGGCTGTAAGCATTGGCGTGTATAGGAGAAGGAAAATCAACCCTTGTTTTTGTTAGCTTTTTTTGTTGCTTCCAACGTTTACGTTTATGTTTTTCATCTGTTTTTGTCGTTTCATTCTGCCCATCTATCGCAGCGTTTTTCATGCTTTCCCTTAGTTTTGCGTATTTTTCTCTAGTGTACATAACAACACTTACTCTCACTCTCGCCTCTCTTGATTTTACTATACGACGATGGTAGTATACAATAAATACTATCAACAACACCCCTCCCCCCAAACTGCCAGCAGCAGCACCCCAACGTTCCATCCATTTCTTTGAATTTCCCCAAACACATGTCTTCGTTGTTGTTGTCGTCGGAAAATTATTTATTGTTTTGAGAAGTGAAAGTTTGTTTTTCCAAAGCTCCTTAATGCAATATGTAAGCTTTAAGCAAATGCTCTCGCCAAATAGTAAATAACGGTATTTGGTGGGTGTCATTGCTTAATGTAGCTTTGGGGGTGAAAGTTTTCAATGAAAAACTTTTCGTATCGTTTTACTTCAAAATATGGGTCTTCTAAAGAAAGAGGGTCATTGAAAGATTCTTTATGGATGGAGACCTTCATAAGATCTCCACAATGTTAAGAGATGCTGTATAGGTTTGCCATATTGTCAACGTATATCCACGTTGCCAAGAGAACAAGGTTATACTATCCACGTTGTCAGGAAACTGTGAATAAGTTATTCACATTATCAGAGGTCTGGGGATAAGTTATTCATGCTGTAATGAGGCTATGGATAAGTTATCTACGTCGTTAAGAGTTTAAGGATAAGTTATCTACGATGTCAGAAGTTAAGTTATCTACGGTGTCAGGCGACTGGGGATGATTTATCCTCGTTGTCAATGGATATGTTATCTACGAAGTCAGACAACTGTGGATAAGTTCTTCACGCTGTCGGGATAACTTATGCACGATGTCGCGAGACTGTGGATAAGTTATCCATGTTGTCAGGAGATTGCGGATAAGTTATCCATGTTGTCAGGAGATTGCGGATAAGTTATCCACGTTGTTAAAGGCTTAAGGATAAGTTATCTACGATGTCAGAACACTGTGGATAAGTCATTCGCGTTGTCTGGAGGCTGCGGATAAATTTTTCAAGCTGTCACTGGACTGTGGATAAGTTATCCACGATGTTGGGAGACTGTGGATAAGTTATATACGGTGTCAGAAGACTGTGGACAAGTCATTCGCGTTGTCCGGATACTGTGGATGAGTTATCCATGCTGTCAGGAGACGGTAGATAAGTAATCCACGCTCTCACTAGATCATGGATAAATTATCTACCATGTCAGAAGACTCTTGAAAATTTATCCTCCCTGTCTGGAGACTGTGGGTAAATTCTCCACGTTGTCATCGAATAAGCTATCCATGCTGTCAGAAACTGTGGATAACTTTTAGCGGTGTCAGGAGAATACGGATAATTTATTTATGATGCCTGGAGACTGTGGATAAGTTTTTCACGATGTCAGGAGACTATGGATAAGTTATTCACGCTCTCACTAGACCGTGTATAAGTTATCTACGTCGTCAGAGGACTGTGGAAAAGTTGTCCTCGCTGTCCGGAGACTGTGGAAAAGTTATCCACATTGTCGGGAGTTTAAGGATACGATGTTATATACGATGTTAGAAAACTGTAGATAAGTTACCCCGTTGCCTGGAGACTGTGGATAAGTTATTCACGATGTTAGGAGACTACGGATAAGTCAACCGCGTTGTCTGGAGACTGTGGATAAGCTATCCATGATGTCACTAGACCGTCGATAAGTTATCTTCGATATGAAAAACTCTGGAAAAGTTATCCTCACTTCCAGGAGACTGCGGATGAGTTTTCTGGCAACTGTGGACTATGCTGTCCATGCTGCCAGAGGTGTGTATAACTCATATCCACTGTCTGTAGATTGTGTATTAGTCATCCACTTTTGTTCAAAAGTGTTTGGGAAAGTTATCAAGTGGCTGGAGACACTGGAAATGCTATCCACATTGTCTGGAGACTGTGGATATGTTCTCTGCATCGTTTGAAGACCGCGGACAAGTTGTTCTCATTATCGAAAGACTATGGATAAGTTATCCGCGTTACCTGGGAACCGTGGATGTATTATCCAAGTTATTTGGAGATTGTGGATATGTCGTGTTCATTATTTGGAGACTATCGATTAGTACTTCACGTTGTTAGGAGCTTGGGTAAAAGTTATTCATTTTGTCTTGGGGTTGAAGATAATTTATCCTCGCTCTATGGCGATTGTGGGTAAGTTATCCACGTTACCTTTAGACTGTGAATGGGAAGGCGAAGTCGTCGGAATGTTATTTGGGGTTTCAAGAAATAATTGTTTGATTTTGCCTAGACATTGTGAATAAGTTATCCATGTTGTTGAAAAACAGTGGAGCTTTCATCCGCGAATGAATATTCATTTTATAGTGGATAAAAAATGTGTTTTTTTCAGAAACTTGGAAAGTTAAATCTCCATTGCTCTATATACATACTTACTTTTAGCCGAATTTTACAAATAAATCAGACTGTGTCTGTGTGGTCTTCAAACTTTATTAAAAACTTAAAAATACTATTGTTAACAAAGAACAACTATGAACCAACCTAAAATTCCGTATTAAATGGGAAATATTTGTGATGACTCATGCCGGTGAATGGTATTAGACGGGTATTGGAATTGTAACGATCCATCAGCTGCATATCTTCAGGCGATAACTCAAAATCGAAACAATCAAAATTCTCCGCTATGCGTTCTTTGCGCACTGATTTCGGAATAACAATTGTGCCCAATTGGATCAGATAGCGCAGACAAATTTGTGCTGGAGTACGGTTGTAACGCTTCGCCAAATCCTGGGCAGTTTCATCATAAAGGAATGCTGGCCATTTTTGTGCAGGTTTTGGCCGAGCCAATGGGGCATAGGCAGTAATGACAATATCCTTTTGTCGGGAGAATTCAATCAGTTTCTTTTGATTTAAAGCGGGGTGGCATTCCACTTGATTGACCACCGGGCGAATACGGCAGTTTTGTAGTATTCTCTCAGTTTGTGCAGCATTGAAATTGGAGATGCCCAAACCCTTGACTAGACCAAGATCAACGAGTTTTTCCATGGCCTTCCAGGTGTCAACATAATCTGTGTCACTCAATTCACCGCTGCCATGAACATTGTCATCGCCCTTGTACACTTGACCCACTGGGAAATGCATGAGATACAAATCGATGTAGTCCAAATCCAAATTACTTAGGCTTTTGCGACAGGCATGTTCCACTATCTGGGGATCGTGGTGTATGCCACCCAACTTTGTGACCACAAAAATATCTTCTCTCTTCACTTTGCCCTCGGCAATTTTTGCCTTAATTGCCCGTCCAACTTCATGCTCATTCTCGTAGACAAATGCTGTGTCAATGTGCCGGTAGCCAATATCAATGGCATCTTTGACAGCTTGTTCGGCTTCGTTTTCATAGGAACGCCAGGTACCTAAGCCGACGACCGGCATCTGTTGGCCATTGCTCAGTTTAATGCATGGAGCTAATTTTGAGGTCATATTTTTGCGTTGTAATGCGTTTCTTTTCCTTTTATTGATTTGTCTTATCTTTGAAGTAGTTTATCTGGCTATTAGTGAATTATTTGCCGATTTTCACTTGTTTTACACGTGACACTTCACTGCTGGGGGACACTTTGCCGTTTGAGTCTGAATGTGAACGGCATTTGTTTATAACAACAGTCGTCATTCATTCGATTTGGTTCTCTCAAATTCTTGGGGGTTTCTCGTTAGTTTCTCTCAGTGAGTGAGGCGGTCTTGTTTGACTGGTATGTTGTTATGTCCACTCTTTCTCATTTAACACGTATTCTCCCCATTGTTAATGTATTTGTGTTCTCATTGCTATTTCGGTATGCTTTGGGAATTTTCTGCTGACTCATTGGCAGATGATGACTCAAAGAACACTCTTGAGCAGAAAATAGTGCTCTAAAATGGGAGGAAATCATAGGCATGACAAAACATAAAAAAGTAAATATAAAAAGATGTTTCTTCGATCTCTTACGTTTTACAAATTATATAGAACCTGTATAGTGATAACCTTGCATGGGTCCTCTATTGCTAAGAGATATTAAATGGTGGTTTCCATAGAAAAAAAAAAAAATAAAAGGATTGTTTATAGCTTGCATAATTTTGGGTATCTGTCTTGTATAAAGATTTCCTTAGCATTAAGTATACGGAGTATACGGAGTGAGATCAAAACAAAAAAAATGCAACAAAGTCAAACGCCATAATTTTTACATTTTTTTTAAATGTTATTAAATGAAAGCAATAAATGTCGGAAATAGCATCAAATTTTAGAATAAGTTAGATTTGTTCGAATTGGTCACCTTTGGCACGAATTATGGCCTTCAAACGGTAAATGAAACCGTCACACGCCGGCCGAATGTTGCTCTGCGGTATTTTGGCCCATTCCTGGCGAAGCCCCTGCTTAAGGTGATCGACGCTTTGGTATTTTTTGGTGTCAACCTTGCTTTTCAAAATACTACAGAGAAAATAGTCCAACGGAGTGGTATCCGAGAGATTACGTGTCCAAGGCCAGTTACGTGTCCAAGGTCTGCGGCCAAAATGTTTGCATGCCAAAGGCATTAATACAACTTTCTGGTATATTTTCGCGATAATATTCGACATTTATTCTGATGCCACGGTGGATTAATACGAGCGGAGAGCATCGGCTGTTATAGCGGCCCACACCATCACCACGGTGGCCAACCAAAGGTGCACATTTTCAGCTGACTTCTTTTGCAAGTAAACACGATCATTTTAGTTGTTTACAAACTGCTGGACAACAAATGTTTTCTCATCGGAGAAAACAAAATTCGGCAGTTCACAACTTTCGGCTAAGCTAAGCAACTCTTTAGCTCTTTTGAGTCTATTTTCCTTCTGTTGCGGGGTAAGTTCTTGCACTTTTTGGAATTTTAATGGCTTTATCCCGAGCTCATTTTTCAATATTTGCAAATGGAATATTGCGGTATTTTCGGCTGC